GTTCTGTACAACAAACATGAAAGAATACCATTCTATCAGTTCATACCAGTATACTATTAATAATTAGCTTAAATAGAAATATCCTCACTCATCTCAAAACCTGACATGTGACAACAATTCTGAGTACAGAGTTAAAATCAATGTACTCTATTTAGTCTAGTACATTTTTCTGAGTACTAGTTTTTATTTATTTTTTTTTATTTTTGCTTAGTGCCGTTAATCTTGTGTTTAATATAAAATTGTGACATGCTCAAAAAATTCCAACTACGGATTTGGAATCACCATCTTCAATTTAGTCCAGCATTTCTCAACCAGTGCACCTGGGTGCACTAATGCGTCCTGAAAGGTAACCAGGTGCACCCCAAGTTAACAGAAGAGTAATTTATGAATTATTTTTATATTTTAAAAAAAAAAAAAAAAACACTTTATTTTTAAAAAGCTACAGAGACCAAGCAATGTAAGGTCTTAAAAATAAATGCTTATTTCAAGAAACTTCTATATTATTTTCCTATTTTCAAATTTCAGAACTTATTTTTTCCTTACTAAAATCTAAAATGCATCCCAGAGTTTTAGTTATTCAACAGGTGTACCCTAAAGTGAAAAAGGTTGAGAAACACCGATTTGAACAGATCCACTTTTATCCCAGTAGCAAAAAAGTTGCTTAGTAGAAAAGGACAAATCACAGTTGAAAATGAGCAAATACTTTAGGGGGGTGGGTTTTATTGCACAGTCATAGCCTGTAAAAATATTTAAATAATATTTATAACATGGATATGTCACTTAAATATTTAATTCTGAAAACTGATGGTATCAATTTTCAGAGCAAAATCTCCACATATTTAATTTTACAAATTTATTGGGAACATAGCTGACTAAATATCAAATTCAATATTTTCTATGAAATTTTTTCATCTACAAAAGAAAACTGATCAAAATGATAGTAATGAAATTAAAAAATCTCAATTCTAAGTTATAAAAAAAAAAAAAAAAAAGATGTTTTCTATCACTTCATATTTGATGTTTGTCAGTCTAAAGATAGCAAATATGGCCATTTCAATAAGAGCAATACAGTTTCTAACTGGGGGAAAAAAATGTCGAGGGGATGTTCAAATGAAATTAACCAATAAAAATCATTTTGACAAATATATTGTGTTTTCTCAAAAACTAAATTTTACAAGCTGGAAAAAGACTGACACATTTATAAGAAATGATATTATCTGCTAAAATAAAAAAAAACAGATGAGGGTTGCACAGAACAAATCTATCCATCAATATGAATATAATTATGTACTAAAATGAATGTTTAGGGAGAAGTATTTGTATAAACTATTTTTGATATGTTATATATAAGATTAAACTAAGAAAACACTATTTCATCTGTTGCTCATAATGTTTTTATTATGAATGAATGTATTAGCTTTTCATAGATATTTTGAAATGATTTTACAAAATGAAAAAAAAAAAAAAGATTTATCCCATAATTTTACTTTTGTACACATTCAAAGGTAAATGTTATACAACTGTATCATATGGCTTTGTTTGGTTTATCACTTAATTTTGAAGTGAAAATAATGCTTTGCCCTACATATAAAGATATCAATTGTCAAAATTAAGGAAAAACATTTTCATGTGAATTAGAAAATTTCTTTCCAAGGACTTTACTGAAAAAAATATAATCTCTGCAGTTTCATTTGAATGAGAGGCCAATAGGAAAAGTTTAAACTCTTATAAATCCAATTTTTAACTACAATTTCAAAAAAAAAAAAAAAAAAAAAAAAAAAAAAAAAAAAGATGCAATATGTTTGAATAAAAAAAAAATACAATTTCTGAAATATTTCAAGTTTACATAAAATTTTGATGAAGAATGATTTCTGAGTAAACATTGTCAAAATAGCAAATATAATATAAAATTAAAATTAATAATGTTTTACACATTGCCAATGAATGAATTTCCTAATAGTCAAAACTCAAGACTGGCTGAATTATTTCAGGAAAACTAAATAAAATCCATAATTTAATAAAAAGAAATATTTTATATAGGACAGTCTATATAGATTTTACAAGTATAGTTTGTTGTAACTTCTTCCAACCCAACAGTTTTGATATTCAGTCTGACATCACAAATATCAGGATATTGAATGAAGAGTATTTGTATACTACTGTGTGTGTGTGTGCAAGAGAGAGAGATCAATGAGCAAATACACTAAGTTATTTAAATTAGTCATTTTTGTATTAAGTATAGTTTTATAAACCTACCCTTTTCTACTGAAAGAATCACACTCAGCATTATACTACCCCTTCACTACACACAAATGCAGTTTAAGTTTTCTTCTCTTTGTTATTAGCAATGATAGAACTGTTTGTATCTAAAAGAGAAGATTTTGAATTGAAGGATAAACTTGAAATTTCTTAATACTAAAATCTGCTTGCCTTTTGCATTTGTACTGTAATGATGATGATCATCATCAAAAACAGAGTATTCAATTTATACAAATGGAAAATGGTGGTTTTCAAGCATAAGAGTGAAACCTAGTTTACTCAGAGATAATCCCAATAATGTTTATCATTTAAATATAAACTTAAACTAATATACAAACATACATCATCAAAGCATGTTTTGTTTGCTTTACATGTGTCTGTACAATAGTAAGAAAAAATAAATAAATAATAATCTAATTTAAATTAATTACAAATGTTTAATGGTTAAATGCAACAATATTTAAAAATTATCTCTCTTTAAATGTTAACAACTGTCTAGAAAGGCAAAGTGATAATTTTATGATATCTAATACAAAAAAGGAAAGTTTTTTTTCTTTTTGTTTTTATTCATAAGCCAATTTACCTTCCCATTCTTACAGGATTTGAAGTCAATCAGCTAAGAATAGTTACAAATATTTCCCCTATTTATGCTGACAGAGGTTTAACACTTAAGCATTCAACCCACCAAAACCCACCACATAAATATCGACTCTCAATGTTCAACCCACCGTAACCTTACCTCACGTATACTCTGACATAATATATGACAACAACATCACAAATAATGAAGGAAGTCACACAAACAGCGAGACTTTAAGAGTCGATATTTACAAGGCAGGTTTGAGCATGTCGAATGCTAAAGGGTTCAATGTTTTATAGTAGGAAATCTTAACTCAATAATATAATTATAGCAAATAAATTTTCAAATCCTGTAGAATGCAGAAACCGACCATGAATAAAGGGTCCCATTTGCCCAATGGAGGGAAACATAATATTATTTTCAGAGTTTAATTCCAATAAAAGCAATAATAATAGTAGTAGTAATAATAGTTCATTTTAAATTTTAAATTTATCTTCATAAACATTTTGCAATGTTTAAAGTAGCAGTACAATTACATTGCAATAAATGAATTTTTATTAAAAACAAGAGAGAATGCTGAAAAGTTCCCAGGCCTATGCACTTCCCAATAGGTCAAATCTTTTCAGCATGCCCTGTAAATAAAATAAAAAAAAGTTCCCTAAAACAGAGTTCTAGGCATGACTTTCCCTTTAAAATAATTTGAAGAAATGTGCAAAAGGAAAACATTTTAAAAAAATATGACAATGCCCAATCTCTGCAAACAAAATGTAGATGAATAAATGCAATGTGCAGTTTGAAACACTTCTTGGTTCCAAGGGATTTCTCACAAGTACAATCAGGAGACTGGGTAGGAGGTTAATAAAAGCTTTCTATTGGTATTTACATAAACACATGCAAGATGTGTGCATAATTGCTAAACTAAACACAAAACACATAGTGAGAAACCTTAATGTCCTTTGTATTGTTTTTTAAGGACAACAGTAAGAACATATAACTAAAACACTAAGTAAGAACATACATAGATCATTTTCAGAGATCAAATATGCACAGTTCTTTTATTTAGGATAAAAAATAGACAAACTTCTAGCATTAAGATAAATATACTTAATATATAAATAAATGGTTAAAAGTTATATTATTAAATAGTAATATTAAGAGTGATAAAAAAAAGCCACCAATTGTCTAGAAATATTTAGTATGACAAATACAAGTTTAAGACATACAAGGCCACAAAGTATATCTTCTTCAAAGAAAAGCCTTTAGAAGTAGATTATTAACTGCAGAAAAATTACCTTGCTTCCACTCTTTTATTGAATTAGAAAGAAAGGCTCTATAGATCTTCAAAATTAAGCTTTTATTGATACAAGTAATGGCCTTGTGACTGCTCAAATGATAATATTCACTGTAAATGACCAATTTTCAAAAATGGCTTGTCATATTTTTGGTGGCTTAATAATTCAATTCCATTTACATGCATCTAGAAATGTATACCAAGCTATAAAAGTTTATATATTAGATAAATCAATATATAAAAATACCAATTTTAATTATAGTTTCCTTTAAAAGATTAATTAAAAAAAATAAAAATAAAAAAAAAACTTTCATTTGCCCCAAAAACAAAAGGAATAAGTATCAGAAATGCTTGAGCTTTCTTAACATCATAATACTTTGAGCAAAATCAAATATTCCATTACAAAAAATAAAACAGGTAAAAAGAGTTTTTAATGACACCAGCAATGATGTTAAAGGCATGCAGTGTCAAGTTTTGAAAAAAGCTTTTAGTTTCCTATTTGAATTTTTAGTAACAAGAGATTTAGAAATATAATAAATTTAGTATAAATAAATTTTCTTTTTGGCATTAAAAGAAAATCAGAAGCCAATAAAGGCAAAATGATTCCTATGTTAAAAACAGCCAAATTGAGTGGTTAATTAAAAGTAAGTTGCACATTTTTTTTTGTGCGACACAAGAATTTCCTTGTTAAATTTTTAAACTTTCTTTTCAATCCACAAAGTATCTTTTGATCAATTTTTTTCTTGAGCACTATTTTAAGATTTCAAATAGTGTTAAGAGATCTTTAGTATTAGATGTTAGTAGAACGGTCAAGTTCAAAAACACAATTATAAAGGGTAAGATGGTTAGCATATAGTTTATTCTGCTTACCAGCAGGTTGCGGATTTATACCAGAGACACCTAAAAATAAAGATGAAAAGAATATTAGATGACAAAAATTGTAACACTTCCACTATAGAGGCAAAAACTAACAGGCTCTATGCAGTCAGACAAGATATTCATGTGATTGCACACATTTGCAAGGTTGTAAGGGTTCTAGCTTAAATTAATATGCAAAGTCTTAGAAACAAGTTATTTTTCTTTTAGATTAAATTCTCTAAGAAATTTTTTTAAAGAACAATAGACTACCTTATAAAAGAACAAACAGAATTTTAAGTCCTATATAAAAATCACTAACCTCAAAAATATAATTCTGATAATGTAATAAGTTAGACTGGAACCTGGTTGCTCATTAGGAACAAGTAAAAAGAAAAGGAATTTTTTTTTTTTTTTTTATTTAACTTTGAATCCTATAATTGATCTATTAAAAAAAAAAAAAAAGCAGATTTGACCTATTATTACTTTCAGTATGGTAGAAATATTTTACAAGAGAAGATGCTCTATAAATCCATTTTAAGATGAAAAAAAAATGAAGGAAACATTGTCAGCAATCAATTTTCACTTAACACTTGGTCATATTTAACCAATATCATTTTCAGATAAATCACTCAATATCTGTATATTTCTGAGATGAGAATATTTACACTAATTCAGACTATTGTCCTCATCTTCGTTGACATATACTTCTTGTTGTATGTTTCAGCCTTCTTCAGGTGATATATGTTGGAATTTCAAATCAAACCCTTTATTTCTAGTTCCACATGCTATGCTTTTCTTTCAGTTATTTCCCTTTTTTGTAAGTTAGGTATTCTTGGTCAGGTATTGAACTCACATTGAGTCAAGTCACTGGATTACTTCAATCAATGCTTTTATCCATTGAGCCATGTGTCCTTGGGAACATCAGTGTAAGAATTTTTAGAACTTATAAACCTAATGTCTCAGTAATCATTTTTTTTTTAACAGAGCTCATATTACAATTTGTTGTTATTATTGCTTTTCTCGATCAACGAAAAAGGGTTCAGTTCAAAATTCCACAACTGAAGAAGGTCAGATCATACAATGGCTGAAACGCCATGAATATAACAATAAAGATGAAGACAACAGTCCAAACAATGTAAATAATGTAAATCACTCAATGTTTTGAGGTTGATGATGATGCAAATAAACATTGAAATATTAATAAAACTGTCACTTCTTTGTTAATTGAAACAATTACCTACAAAGTCTTTTTATATTTACTTTCATCTTTTAAATTCTCGTTCTATATTGTGAAAGTTCTTATGTTAATAAAAATATATCTAAGAGTAAACACGCAGTTTTAAAAAAGTTCTTAAGCTTATCTTCTCAATATACATCAAATTTGGAAAAAAAAAAAAAAAAAAAAAGAGTTATTGTGTCTAATTTATGGAAGAAAGTGCATTTATAAAGAATAGTAATTCTACAAAATTAGAATACTGTTTATTGCAATTTCATTGGTATGGCTTTTTGTAGCCAATCAGTGACTACAACTGCTACGCCATTAAAATATATCTACATATAGTTAAAATTGAAAAACAGTAACAAGTTGAGTTTCAATGTTATATCATTTGTTGATAATTAGGAAATGAAAATTGTATTTAGAAATTTGGCAATCAAATACCTGATTACATTAATTCTTTTATATATTCTGAAGTTTATAGTGTTGAAATGAATTTAAAAAGTCAACTGCACTGATACTCATAAAATTTACAAAACAAGTCAATATCTACATAATTCAATCTATTGAATTTAAGATAGACAGCACCTGCTGTTTCCTATGTACTAAAAATATCAAATCTATTCTGCTAGATCATAAAAAATAAAACAAATAAAAGCATTCCCCATGTTCCATAAAAAACAATTTACTCAAAAAAGTTCACAAGTGAATGCTGTTTCTTTAACTGATCTGAACAGAACTTCACTTTATGCAACTATACAAAATAAAACATTTGTCTCAGACTTAAATTAATCCCTGTAGGAATTTAAAATTGTAATTTTACCGAACTTTTGATCCCATTTTGCATACGTATTTACCATCAGTAGATGTGTTTTGGGGTCTTTTTTTTGCTATTTTTCTTGCAGGGTGGGTGGACTTCATTTTGTTTATTTTTAATTTTGCTTTGATTTTTACCCAGTAATCTTTATAAGGAAAACTTAAAAGAATAGATAAAATGAAAAGGAAAAGTTCTTTTTTTTTCCTTCTTGTTATTTCTTTTCTTTCACTTTTTAAAATACTTTATTTAGTTACTGCAAAAATTTATGATTAAAAGTTGAAAACGTCTTGTTCCAGCCAAGAATCCATTCCAAAATTCTGCTTGCCATACCATTTGTTGTGGCCTGGTGCAAGATTTAACTCTGATTAGTAAATATTGACAAACATTTGAAATTGAAAAGAAATGAGGCCAAATGTATTGTGAAAATCTAATCAAACTTCTGTTAAGGAGTTTGATTTTACAGGCCAGTATGTTTCACTGAGAGAAAAAAAAAAATGAGAGTCACCTCTATCACATTTAGATACTATTTTTATTTCAGCAAAACAAACAAGTTGATAGAATTTTTTTTTATCATTTTTCTAGAAAAATAAACAGACCTCTTAGCCACACATCAAAATGTTTCTTTGAATTACAACAGCTTTTGAATTTTTAAAAGGCTAAGTCATTATATGAAAAAAGAAAATAAAAATTTTACTGTAACTTACTAGTTTTAAAGCCTATATAATATTTGGTTGACCAAAAAAGTTTGTTCTGTTTTTTGTATTAAACAAAATTAAACATGTTTAGTTTTAACTAAATTCATTCAAAAAGATCACTTACGATTCCATCACAGAACACAATAAATGGCTGTTTTGAATTACAAACTTTATAACTTGGCTTGAATATAAGTTTATTATTTGAAGTGATACAATTTTACCAATACTCCAGCAGTGAATTTATCCATCAAAGATAAAAACTGAAGTTATGGGAGTCAACAAACTGGTGGAAAGTATTTTCAACTTGAGCTACATTGGCATACACCTGCTAGCACGTTATATGCATCTAAAACTTGGATAAAGTGGCAATCAGTAGAGGACAGGCTTTAGTAAACTAAATCAGTTATTGTCAGGTGTTTTCTGAAATATTCCATCTTGCATTGTCCTACAAGATGCCCCCCCCCATTTCTATTCACTACTGGTAGCCAAAATGTTTGCAACCTTTTGATGCATCAGTTCCAAATCACAATAGAACTCTGCCGACATGGTCTGACCAAATTAAAACAGGCATTAATAGATTTAACTAAGGGCAGCAGCAGATAGAAAAATTTTGGAGGAGTAAAGATTTGGTTTTGAAAAGGGTCGAGAAGTGAGGAAGTTTGCTGACTCAATGAAAATCATTTTTGACTATTATACAGAAACTATTTTTCATCAACAGTAAGCACACAATCAGTGAAAATGTCATATTTTGTTTTTTAAATGAATAAGCAATTTGGAGCAACTGTCAAAGCATACAAACTGCTGATCATCAATCAAATCATGGGCAACTTATTTCTACTTTTTACTTTTTGCCAGATATCTTTCAACTTGTAACAGGTATCTCCAACTGTGCTCCCAACATCCAAGTTTCTAATTGAGCCTCCAGTGCTGCCCTTAATTTTTCATTGTCAAGTGAAATTTGCAATCAAAACCAGACTCCTTTTCAAGACTTCAATCATCAGAAATTCATTTTTAGAACCAACAACGTACAGTCAGTTCTGAAGCCGACTCCAGCCCCCAAGCATTGTTCATTTTGCAGTGCAATGACTGATTTTGAGCACAAGGAGTAGAAGGACACAAAAATTGAATTTAATCGTCTTTGGTTCAACACAATTATTTTAGAAAAAAAAAAAAAAAAAAACATACACACAACAGGATCATAATTCCATAGACAGTTCACTAACCTAAGAAAAATACCATTTTTGAAATAAATTATGACAGGTGATGCAAAATTGATACAGTAGTCACCAATCATCTCCAGAAACTCTTTGAAGACCTGAAACAAAAAACTGTATCAAACCATAATTTTTTTTTTCTTAGATATACACATTTCTGACAAAGTTTAATTTGTAAATTGGAAACAAGCTGATGCTTTATATGATAGGAATGGATCATAGTCCTCTACTATGAGCCCCTTCCAGAAAACCAAATGATTCATTCAAATAAGTACTGTTCCAAATTAGACCAACTGAAGCAGAAATCAATAAAAAGTATCTAGAATTAGTTAAGAAAAAAGGACATAATATTCCATTTGAATAATACAAAAATTGTATGTTTATTTGGTGACTGGGCTAAAAATTGGTACAATTTGTCTGGGAAGTGTTCAGTCATCTGTTGCCTTTACCAGATATTGCACATTCAGATTTAGGCCTTTAAAGAATTCTTTTAATAAAGAAAATTCATTTCCTGAAGACTACAATAAAAAGACTAGAGCCATTTTATTTTTAACTCAGAAAGAGAAAACATTCTTAAAGGATAAAATTATGAATTTAGCAGAACGATAAATCATCAGTCAGATGCTCAGGTGTGGTTGTAGTGTCATTGTGCAGGTGAGCAATTGACCAGTTCCCTCCATAGTTGCATACCAATGTTCGAGTCTCTGAATGATCTCAATTCACTCAGTGATGTTGTCATCACATTTTACCTCTGTCTGCACTTTTCTTCTGTTACCTAAAGTGGTACCTTCTAGGATGAGAGTGGAAAGATTGTTAGTTCTTATGACCTGTCCATACCATTTCAGCTTTCTCTTCTTGATAGTGGTTATGAGACCTTTCAATGGAGCTGTTTCTTGTTTGATAGTGTCTCAAACTGCATCATTTGTGATACAGTCTATAAAGAAGATGGTTCTGTAGCATTTCTAATGCTTTGATCATTCACTGTAATTCTGCTGATAATATTAAAGATTCACAGTTGTAGAGAAAGATCAAGAAGGTCATTGCTAGGACAGTTTGATCTTTGATTTCAGGCAGATTTTCTTGTCTTTCCAGATGTTTTT